CGATCGCACGCCCGCGGTAAGCAGATTAATATTAATAATAGCAGGGCGGCGAAATAATAGGCTGCCATTCCATTTTTCGCATATCCCGGGAAGTTCGGGAAGATCATTAGCTGTGCAAAGTCCCTCTCTCCCACTACTGAAAATCGTCTAACGACCATTACCACTTGATTGGTGATCGTTTGGTAGTATTTGGTAGTCCATTCCCAATGATTGGTAGTCAAAGTTGTAAATATTAATATAAAAAAAGACATACGCGCGTAAAGTTAGCTCCTCCTTTCGTAAAGTATGGCTTTCCAGGCTGTGTAAATAATCATAACTGTAAGCATTCGTTTGGTGGTCATTCCCGATGATTGATAGTCAAAGTCATAAATAATAATATGAAAAAAAAGACATACGCATGTATTTTCAGTAGTGGGAAAGGAAACTTTACATAGCTAAGATCATCTCTCACAATCTCTTTTCTATAAATTGTGAAAATAATTTAGGGGCAACGAAGAGGGGTAAAAAAGTAAAATTTTACTCGTCCCACGATTATCAAAATATCATTAGCGGTATTCTCTTGCAATATTGGCTAGGCTCGATTGCACTTGTCGTGGCGCTTGTAAATCGCCCCGTAATCGATGAGGCACAATCGATGAGGGCAATAAGTAAAGGGGGAATCGACCGGCCGCTCGGCTCTTCGGCGAATCGAAGCGGAACCATGATTACCACCGGCGCGGCGCGGCGCGAGTTACGTGGCGGTATTAATTTCGGTACGGCCGTTCCTTCTCTTTCTCTCCCGCCGCCGCCGCCGCCGCCGCCGCCGCTGTCGCCGTTATACATATTTTACGCGGCATTTACGATGTGCGACATAAGTTATCGTCTCGTAGGGGAGTATAACAGGGTGCGGAGAAAAAATCGACGCGTTAAGTGGTTAAAAAGCCGGTGTACCCGCTCGCGCTTGCGACGGACGGCACGTAATTTGGGGTGTTTTAGCGCGGTCGAGAGAGAAACGCGGAGATGCGGCCAATAATGGACGATAATGGATTGTCGGCGATAAATAATCGTAATGAGAGATTCATTATTTATCACCCGAGTGGGCCTTTGTACGTGTCCAAAGCGATTAAATATGCCGAGTATATCAGGGCTGAGGATGATGAATGATTATTACAATAAATACCGTAGCATAGCGTTATAGCTTGTCGGTCCACTTTAAAGTCAAGTCAAATTTGCCTGCCGCAATTGGGAACGAGATACACGAGGTAATTAATATCAGAAATAAAAATGATGTTAAAAGGATGAATAAAAAAAAAGAAAGAGAGCTCCATAACTTTTGAGACTCGCAGAAGTCATAAATCAGAATCGATGACGTACGATCTCCATTCGCTCAAAGGAAGGCTTTACTGAAAGCGTTTATCTGCTACCGTTCGAATAAATAATGTCGGGACACTTTCAATGCCGTCTTCAAAAGCCAAGATTCCGTAATCCTGATTAATATCCTTTGAATTACGTAGCCGTTTAAAAGATTAACGAATAAAAAGTGTCATTGGCTTCGGCCAATCATATAAGCAGTGTATTATTCGCGGTTCTATTATTTTTGCAGACACGACCCATTATACATGTACAACACTTATGCCACGATATCGTCTCTATAGGCGCAATTGAAACGTTCCGCGCGAGGTAAGATCTACTTTAGATATACTATTTCGCATTTATAGCCGAAGCTTACAAATCCGCGGGCTTATCTTTTTTTCTAGGCTATTCAATCCCAAGGCTCAGGCTCTTCCCAATCGTTGTCAGTGGCAAGTAAGACGGATTGCTCGAGCAGGAAAGCGACCCGTGATAAAAACAAGTCGCCGGCAACACCATTGCATCGAGTGTAAGCGCCGCGGCTTCTTAATGCCCGGTACCTGGCGTGCGTGGCAGACGATTTAGAAACGCGGCGGACAGACGGCGGTTCACTCGAACAGCTGGAGCAATCATTTCCGATGACGCGGTTCGATTGAAAGCGGTATATGCTCGCGCGCCGAGAAATCCGCTCGACTGCCAGATGAGGTAGGCAGTCGGACTCGGCTGGCTCGAATACGAGATTTGCTGTACCTCGCATTCTAAGTCCTCGTAATAAGAGAGACCGTATAGTGTCAAATAATACGATCAGATAAAACGTTTCTGTCCCCCTCGACCGGTCTCTCCCGCAACAAAACGCGCGCCTCGCACGCACGAACACGTTCCGGGGATTGGAACGGTATCGAAAATCTACGTGCAATGTATGTCTACGTGAGCGATATTTATAATTCTTTAAACCCTCCGAGATTTATATCCCGCGGGTTTAGCACTTCGTTACCGTTCGGATAAGAATCTGTTGTTCAACGTGCGTTCGCTAAAGAGAATGTGTTACGGAGTCGGTGTGCCGAGGGTGACTTATGGAAACGAGCAGGAGCACGTTCATTTATTCACCTGCCGTGGTTTGTAGCACGGCCTTACGGTCGACGGGTAACACGTTACTCGACCTTTCGATAACGATTTCTATCTCCCGTCCGGTTTATCTAGTTCTAGTTCGTCCGCGGCCTCCGGTTCACGCACAAGGAAAGATACAAATGATTATCTACTCAAGTACGTACACATAACGCGCAATATTCGAAGAGCAGTGGCGGGGGGCGGAGGGGGCGATCGCCCTCCCCCCTCAGAGCTCTCCAAACAAATTTCAAAATGTATTATTTATAATATATGGTTTTACGGATATTAAATTGTATATATGTTGAAAATTATGAAACGATGTAATTTATCCGCGGACCTGACAAGTTTTAACCAGAAATGATACAATGGTAAAATTATTTATTTATGCATCGCGATTGACCACGCGTTGCAAATGGCCACGTTGCGATTGGCCACGTTGCGATTGACCACGCGTTGCGATTGGCCACGTTGCGATTGACCACGTCGCGATTGTCGACGTCGCGATTGCCTCTCCAAACAAATTTCGTATATTGGAAAAAGTCGGTTTTAAATAAATTGAAAAAAAATATCAGAAATTATTCGAGACTAAATAATGTTCACTCAATTTTTTTTAATAATAAAAAATATTAAAAATAACATTAATGACAATAACTAAATGTCCACATTTCGTCATACCACCCCTCCCCCACCAAAAACAACTCTGAATCCGCCACTGTCGAGGAGGAGTTGGAAGAACGTTTCGAATGTATTAACAAACTAGCAGTTATCTCGGAGCGTTATTCTGCTGAGCTTACTCTGTCGTGGTAAATTGCTGCTCTGCTAAAACACTGCGACTGCTTCAGTACCGTGCAATTATATGTTCTATTACTGTACACGATGAAGTACAGTACAAAGTGCCGTACGATAAATGATGTTCGTGACCGACCGATGTCGATTGCAATTTTTTAATATACATCGAAAAGCACATTTGACAGTGGGAGGTCTCCGACTGACGGTCAAAATTTCCGGAGGCATTATTCATTTGTACTCGAAGAAAAATTTTCGTCACGTTACCGATATCATTATCGAGATAAACCGTGTATTTACGACATTATCCATAAAAAAAGACGATTTCAGACCGCCGAAAATACATTCTTCGTGTAAATTATAATGAGCCGTAACATACACCGGCAATTCATCACCAACCCCGGCGGCGCACGCGATGGTACCCCGCTGTGTCGTGCCCGCTTCCTTATCCCCCTCTCGCCCTTCATCTCCTTCTTCGTATAATTATATTCTTTCGCGCAGTATTGAAACGGTATAAAAGGCGGATTCTTTTATAAATGCTGTATTCAACTGCTCTCCCAATTCACTCTCCCAAAAATTAGTCGAGACCAGTAAAGGGGAGGGAAAACTCGATCGCTAAGACGGTGAGACGACAAGACAAATGTGGAGGGTCCGAAGTACGGAGTAAGGGAAATTATTCAAATTCCGTATGGAACGGCAGTTTAATCGCGTGATGTTTGCCACGCATGTAGACATTAAAGCCCCCGAAATTACATTGGCCCGAGCCGGACACGCCATTTTTGCGTGGCCTCACCTCTGCCCGCGGCGACCAATCGCGACCGGTAGCTTAAAAAAAACGGTACCCGAGAGGTATGCTTGGTGCGCGATGCGATAAACATGGCGGGAGAGAGACTTCCGGGGAGGTGAGGTGGAGGATACACCTGATATACCGATATCAGACCATACGGCGACCACCTATCGGGAAACGATATTTCGATTATACTGGTCTGGCTGCGTGAAAATTAATGATGGTGTAATAAATAATATATTGCCGCGTATTATTATTAATATCGCGGGGAAAGGGGTCGTACAATCAGCGACGAGAGGCCGGTAATCATACATCCCCTGGCATTTTTTTTACAGCTCGAGATAATTATATACATTCGACAGTGAGAAGAGATTGAACCACTGCCGTCGCACAATCCTGACCATATTTTCATGATAATATTTCATTATATGTATGTAAAAAGAAATAAATAAAGAACTCTCCATTACACCACAATTTCGTGTTCTCCTTACACCCTGATTGCAAGCTCCACATTAATGAATATTATTATTGTCTCGCGGCGAACAAAGTTCGCAAATAATAATACTTGACGCTTCTGCACCCACAGGTTCCTCGGCAATCTAGAAACCGGAAGAACAACAATTCGCGAGAGGAACAACAGTACGCGAGGAGGCCGATGCGCACAATTACACGAGCGGCGTCGAATAGCGCCGTATTCAAGATTGATCGTGGCGATAAATACCGCTGTGATTCACAGCGACGAGCTAAATACAGGAAAATGAGCCATATAAATCCGCGTCCGCAGCGCGGACGCTTCTGCCGCTTGATTTGAACCAGCTGGCAGGAGGATGTAACGGAAGGCGCAGTCGGAAATCATTAATGTCAAAGCAACTAAACGTTCGCGCGGTGACTTGACGCAACGTCGTCGTCGCCGTGCCGCTCCGCTCTACGCGCGCGCGCGCGGTAAATGACTTCATAGTTCATAACGAAGAAATTTTGCGGGGAACGTTACCGTGGATGTCGTTGACGCATATGTGAAGATCCTCGCGAAAGATAGGCAAGTCGAAGTTACACTGGCACGTGCAGGAACTGTTCGGCACAAGCAGGCTCGAACTCGACGAGCCCCGGGAGTAAGGACTGGCGGTGCCGCTGCTAAGCACTGTACAGGCTTCCGTACAAGAGCCTGCAACAAATTACAGTTTCATACATATTAGATTATATACTTATTAGATTGCATTAGATCACGTTTGTTAATTTAAAGTAAAATCCGAAATTGCGAAGAAAAGAATTTTCCCCAAATGTAACCATTTATAAGTATACTCAAATACATATCGATTTATATTTCAACATGTTTTCATATCTAACGTCTTCTACAATATATAGATATTAATTGATAGGCTACCTTACACCTGTCTTTCAATATTTTATCTTTTTACTTTCCTGTTTTTAATTAACACTGTGTTCATGTCGCGCATTAAAATACACCGTCGTACATTAACAGTCAATTAACCAATCTCTCAAGAATCAATAATGTGTTCGTGCGCCAAACGTGTTTCGCAGGATCCCTCGGTGATGCGAGAGGCTTCTCCGAAGACGCGAACGTACAGTTCCGCCGGTTGAGATTCGCGTGTCCCGATCCTCAGGACGTGCCGTATAATCCAGCCGAGCAAGGACAGGTCGGACAGCTGTCAAACCGTTACATCGTAATTTCACGGTTAATCCGTTACGAACGTCTTTTTTATTTCACGCAGCGGTTGTGTCACGATTTCGCGCAAAATCGTCCCTGTGTGGAAAACATGTTCGGCACTCTCGCGAATCATTTTGCTTCCGCGTACCGGAAAATCACTCGGGGGAATTCGCGCCGAGTGTATCACCGGCGCGAATCGCACGCCTTACGGCGCACGCTTCTTGAATTAGACCGCCGAAATGCAACACGTCATAACGTCATCATTACCACAATGCGAGAAATCGCAAATAGATATTGAGGTCTCCAGTGAAAAACGTAACGCGCACGCGAGTGAAAATCCTGCGTTTGGTGGAAAACGTTTGCATTTACAGTATTTTCAACACACGGTACTTTCCGTCGTCGTCCCGAATTGTCTTCCTTCACAGATTGATGCAATAAAAAAAAAAGCGTAATGTAACAGTAACGATTGCAGAATATTTACCTTCGATGGTAAAAATATCTCCATCGGAGTGCCGGATGACCGATAATTCCTGACAGCGTACGACGACTTGCAGGAGGTTGAAGCTCGTGAGAACGAGGGCTAGAGAGCGCATCTTCCACACAGCATTCTGCAATATGGACAAATAGATGTAGGTCGTAAATAATCGAGAGGCGAGATCGGTGCGTGGTTTCACGCGTTTTGTTAGCCGCGTCAAATAACAGGTGCGTTTCGTTCGGCGCATACGACCGATAAGTCATTGACAATTCCGTGAATTAATTTCGCGACACAAGGAACTTCCGGCAGATATGCCATTTATGGCATCTTGCCTGTCGCTCGGCTAAACACTGCATCTGCATCTGTATTATACGCTTATCAATATATTAGAATGCGCGTCATTTATCGAAAACGCATTACATTATTAAACGTATAAGTTCAGAGATGCGTTAAGTTAAAATAATATTTCATCAAAGCTACGCTTTTTATAATAGTAAATTAGTTAATAGTTATTAATGTTACAATTGTAAATTAATTCTGAAAGTCTTGAACAGAAAAAGATTCATATTATAAAAATTATTAGGCACGCCAAGATCCGTTTTGGAATTTTTCTTATCTTACTTATTTGAAACAATCCACAGTCAATTCAAACACTTGGTAACAAATTAATTCTCTTTGTATGCGCATTAGATATACCAGACTTCTTGTTTGCTTTGTAGGATCGCTCACTGCATCTTGAGTGACGTGCAAGCACGAAACGTACAGATAGGTACACACGCACCGAAGATTGAAAGGATATACAGATGCTAATTCAGTTATTAAAGTAATAATCCTAAATTTACCAGTATACGACCGGTTGGCAATCGAGTGTTATGATTATGTTAAGTGAAATCGCGATTAACCCTAACCCCGGACTCTCAGTACACCGAATCGGTATCTTCGATGTTTTCCCTCCCTCGCGCTTTTTACGTTTCATAATCGATACCAGTATCGGCGTGATTTGCGAGAAATTTACGATAGGCACGACATCGTTCGACCGCTCTTCCGACTTAGCCGGTTCGGTGCCGCGCGATTAATCGTCGGAATTTTATACCGGTTATCGGTTCATCGGGACACACTCAAGCACGGTGACTGTCAGGATTCTTTTTGTGTATATACAATTTCTGTCAAACTGTATTAATCGCAGGAGCGGAGTTACAACTGGATGAATCGGGATTGATTATAATCTCGCTTCTGAAGTGATAAATCTCCATTCGACGTTCGCGCCTCGTTCCTCTTGAATAATTTCATCAGTCTTCGACGACAGGCGCGACCGTAATTTCGGAAGTCCTGTCGCGGGGATCGTGCCGAGAGAAAGACGGATGCATGTATTTATATTTGACCGATGAAAAAAAAAGAGAAAATGGAAGCGCGGCAAGACGACAGAGCGATCGGTCGTTATTAATCAAAAGCCCGTTACTGACGTTGCCCGTCCGAGCTCTCGCTCGGAAAATAATGAGATATTTGACATTCGCTTAATTTCGCCGCTTGTCACGAGCACAGTTCGTGCCCTTAAGCATAAATCTGCTATGAAAATCGCGCTAAGGAGCATGCGACAGCGTAGATACATAATCCCCATAGAGAGGATTTCGTTACTAATCAGATTTTTACGCAGCGTCGCTCTATCAGAATTCAATAAGCCCGGCAAAACGAATCGGCAGACTGAATTTTTTTTGCCTCGTAATTGTACACATCGGTCGTTTGTCTCTAAGAAATTTAATAAGCGTTGCAAATGACTAGTTACTTCGTCCGTGTAATCATCCTCTCTCGTAATAATCTTCTCGCTAAAGGGGCATCTCCTTTCCGCGGCAGGTGCTGGCAGATTGCGCTATCGCGTATTATATTAATCGGTCGACGGGCAATTGCATTTAGAGTCCGATTATTGAATCTTGGCGCGATTATCGCGCGCCAGGTCATATACATGCTGACAAGTGCACGGTAATTACAGTGCACATTCCCCCAGTGCGAAATCGTGTTAATAATTATTTACGGCGAGACCGCACTCTGAGACGCATCTCTCTCTCTCTCTCTCTCACGTCGCACTCGCAATCAGGGACTGCACTCTGATTAAAGTTCCTCCCCTACGCGCTCGTCTTGTAATTATATCGACGCGCGCGCTCGAGAGTTTCTCAGCCGTCGAAAAAGACGGTCGAAAGAAGTTGGGAGAAAGTGTCGCTACGCGCTAGAGAAGCTCCTTTCCTTTCGTCAAGTCAGATAAACAAGCCACACCGTGCAGGTGAGAATTCAGTTCAGGGCGGATGTTAAAACGAGACGAGCCAATAAAATATCTCGGCGAAGCGCGATAAAAGTGAATTAAGAATTCACGGTGTGATCAAGTGCCTCTATAAAAGTGGCGCTATCTCGTCTCTGAAATTCAGATACTAGAAGGAAAGCGGCGTTTCTTAGAAACCTAGTGACGCGAACATATACAAGTCTTTAACGACTTTAACTCCTTCTCTCTTTTTCTCTCTTTATTCTTCTCTCTCTTTCTCTCAGTTTTTTCGGGATCGTTGAACGAATGCGTTAGAGAAATACTTGTTAAAGGAGAGCTCGACGGATTTCGTGGTCGCTGATAGAGTCGGCTGCCGAGCCACGCGGCCGTAAATCTCTTTTACGAACGATCGTAAATGTCAATGCGCTTCTTAATTATGTGCGCGATACGTCAATAGAGCGACATCACTTCAGGAATCGTATATGCACGGACTAACGTAAATACGGATTTTGATATCATCGTTTTATAATGAGATGCTAATATCTTATTTTGTTGACTGCCGAATTTATTGCCGATACCGTATTATACCGCCGAAATGTTCACGCTAAATCTAATAACAAAGTAAGAAGCGCTAGCCCAGGTCATCGTCTCAATTAGATATGCTTATTATTATTACCATCTATTACCATCTATTACCATCAAATTATTATTTTTTTATCGTCAACTTGATTCTAGTCATTTATGATAGGCACAACACCGTATAATTTTATAAGAAATTACAATGTTAGCCTCAATAAAATATTTAACGAGCGTTTCGGTGTCAAGTATTAATTTCGTGCGGTTATAGACAAATCTGCAAATGTAGACGGTGCTCCATAAAAAAAATATACAAATCTCTTGCGGAATATATAACTCGACTTAACGTTCTATTTCTTCGATGATGAAAAAAAATTGCACAACTGGAAAATATTAGTTAAACGATTGAGATTAAAAAAAAAACATTATAAGTATAAAGTATGTAACTTTCAAGTCACGTAACGTTACAGAGGATTTAATAATGCACGTGACCGATCGCGAAACGTCGGCGCAATCGTGCTGAAAGGTCCGGCCGTAGTAGGAAGTGTAACGCAACCACCGTACCCCTTTATAATCCGCTGGCACCTGCGCCAGATGCACATCCGATTTTGCCCCGCGTTCCCGCAGAACGCGCGGCGCGGCAGCGGCGCACGTGTTATCCTACGCGTGCCATCGGCCCGATTGTGCATAACGCTCATCGCTCGCTCGCTGCCCGCCGGTGTTTCTTGCTCCATTGGCCCAATCGCACGCGCCGACGCGGTGGTAATTTATATCATAGTTGCGCGCGCGAGACGCGGTAACTACGTTCCCTATAAGCTCGCATTATGTGCCCGCGCGAAGATCCGACGTGCGCGATATAATGCCTGCGGTTGGCCGAACGGTGTCTTTATCGGACACACGCGAGCTATCCTGAATTTCTTTTGCCCGCTCGCGCCGCGTGATATCGGGACCAGTCGCGTTTTCTTTCTTTTCATTTCCTTTTTATCGCCGGCGCGGCGGCGCGTCTCGCGTCTATCACTAATCTACCGCGACGATGACGACGACGACGACGACGTCCCATAGAACTAGGAATGCAATCTTCACGTAAAAAAGATCACAAGCCAGATGAAAGGCGTAGCGATTTCCGACGTTATAATAACGTCGGACTCGATTACCTTTTCCTCGTACAAAAAGAAGAGACGAGATATATTTATAATATTGCAGAGCGTCACATTATTCGGCGCGATGTTCCCGTCTCTAACGTAAAGCGCCATATTTTTTCAGAGAGCCGTTTTATGCTAGCCGAGATTTTACTGCTTTTAACCAGAGAGTGCCAAGTTTAACGGCAAGTCGTTCGTTCGTTCGTGTTGTGCTTATCGAAATAAAATAATAAAGATAAAAACGTGTGAAAAGGCATACAATCCGATTTTCTTATCGGGGTAACTAGTTTTACGACCCGAACTCCGCTGCGAAAGTTACAGATGAAGAAGACCGTGCAATTGCACGCGCGTACGTGTCATCAATGACAAATCATAATGATTCTCCGGTAGCGCGAACGCTATACAAATGCGCGCGTGTGTCACGCGAAAAGAATTATTTCGTAACAGTGCCAATAGTCACGGTCAACGAGCAGGGCGAAATAATGGTAGAAAGCAATGATTTCTAAGACTATGACATCAATAACCGGAGGCGGTCGGTTTCTCACTCGATTTGGAATCTGTAGAAAGGTCCCCAAGAGAGAGAACGAAGCGTACCGTTGAATGATTCGTCGAAGTGTTTATGCGCGACAGAATGGCCTTATAAACCGGCGATTTATAGCCAATTCGGACTGATTGTTATCTGAAGCGTAGCCCGAAAGAACCGTAAATTAATACCTACAACGACAATCTACGAGGGAAAACACCGAGGCGAATGAAGTTCGTTGAACACATTATGACGCGTTGCGTAAAGAAATAATTTATTCAGGAATTTAACTTACACGAGAGTGAAAAGAGACCCCGATATCGGTGTTTATTCTCGAAAAAAAAAAAAACGTTAGAGATAATTCTTACTAAAGCACAACGAGTCAAAAATTGAGACAAGCCCTCTAAGTGTAGAATATTTGTATAACTTCATACCGCGGTGAGAGACGTCGACACGTACCCCGCGACGGAACGGAAATTAGTTTCGATCGAGAGAGAAAAAAAACACGTTATAGAAGCGCGCTGTGTACAAAATTATCCTGCTTAAGTTACGCCGTTTAATGTTTATGAATGGCTCGCGAGATCGGTCGTGTTCGGTGTTTCATTATCAGCGTGCATCATTACGAAATT